TTTTTTTCTGATGATCATACCATATGCATAAGCATTGGGGAACATTTTTATCATGCAGCTCCAAACTTTCTTCGGGCCTGCCTCTGCTGGGCTTTGTCTTCAAAATTGCCAACAGTGCAAGCTTTGAGATCTTTAAAGGTCCAGTTTGGTCCAGTTCAATGCTCCTAATTGGATACTGTAGTAGCAAGCACAGTGCTTGCTGCGATGTGTCTACAATTCTGCCATATGGAAGTATTTCATGCATGAGTGTCATCACTGTATAATAGGTTATGAGAGCCAGTCCAGGCTCTCATACCCCGATGGCTTGAAAGTGTGGATATATCGAGTTTTTATAGTGTGTACAGTGTTCCTTTAAGCACCTTTGTCACATGACATTTTCATGCTTGCATTATTGTGTTTTCCATCCTGCCATATTTACAGCTGTGTACTCTGTTCTACAAAATAGTAATTCATTAAACATATTGAAGGTGTTATTGTGTTGTCCCAATCTGTAGCCACAGAACATAAAAAGCATGACTCTTCTGGTTCTGGAGGGTTCCCAGGCAAGAGATTTTAGCAAAACAATCAATTTAGTGAATCAAAATAGCTTATTAAACCATCATTCTTTAAACCAGATGAATTTACTAAAATTGTACACAGTAAGGAGATTGTTTACGTAGATATTAAATATGTCTGGGTTATTAAAAACACTCACAGAGAAGAAGACAGTATAATGTAAGTGTAACACACACTTATTCTAATCAGGGACATATATGCAAATATGCTGTAACTTTAGGGCTGTAATCTTTCAAATGAACTCTGCAGTCTGCTGTCCCAATTAAAATTTGCTTATTTGTTTATTTTTCCCAACCTTGCACTCTTCATTCTTCATGTATTTAAATTTATATATAAAATAAATGCCAGCACTCCTGGATTTAAGAACAATAGTATTTATTGTCAAGAATGTGTGTGTGTGTATATAACTAACACAAATCTGTCCAAATCTGTGTTAGTGAGCACATCTCCTTTGCCGAGATAATCCATCCACCTCACAAGTGTGGCAAATCAAGATGCTTATTAGACAGCATGATTATTGCACAGGTGTGCCTTACACTGGCCACAATAAAAGGCTGCTCTAAAATGTGCAGTTTTACTGTATTGATGGGATCCGGGGGGGTTCGAAAACCAGTCAGTATCTGGTGAACCACCATTTGCCTCACGCAGTGCGACACATTTCCTTTGCATAGAGTTGATCAGATTGTTGATTGTGGCCTGTGGTCCACTCCTCTTCAATGGCTGTATGAAGTTGCTGGATATTGGTAGGACCTGGAACACGTTGTCGTATACGCCGATCCAGAGCATGCCAAACATGCTCAATGGGTGACATGTCCGGTGAGTATGCTGGCCATGGAAGAACTGGGATGTTTTCAGCTTCCCGGATTGTGTTCAGATACTTGCAACATGGGGCCGTGCATTATCATGCTGCAACATGAGGTGGTGGTCGTGAATGAATGGAACAATGGGCCTCAGGATCTTGTCACGGTATCTGACGTCGTAAATGAATGGAACAATGGGCCTCAGGATCTCGTCATGGTTAACCTGATGTGCATTTAAAATGCCATCAATAAAATGTACCTGTGTTCATTGTCCATAACAAACGCCTGCCCATACCTTAACCCCACCGCCACCATGGGCCACTCGACCCACAACGTTGAAATCAGCAAATGCTCACCCACACAATGCCATACACCCTGTCTGCTGATCTTGGAGGTGAAGATGCTGGATGTGGAAGTCCTTGGCTGGTGTGGTTACACGTGGTCTGCGGTTGTGAGGCCGGTTGGATGTACTGCCAAATTCTCTGAAATGGCTTATGGTAGAGAAATGAACATTCAATTCACAGGCAAGAGCTCTGGTGGACATTTCTGCAGTCAGCATGCCAATTGCACGCTCCCTCAAAACTTGCAACATCTGTGGCATTGTGCTGTGTGATAAAACTGCACTTTTTAGAGTGGCCTTATATTGTGGCCAGCCTAAGGCACACTTTTGCAATAATCATGCTGTATAATCATCTTGATATGCCACACTTGTGAGGTGGATGGATTATCTTGGCAAAGGAAAAGTGGTCACTAACATAGATTTAGACAGATTTGTGAATATTTGAGAGAAATAGGCCTTTTGTGTACATAGAAAAAGTCTTAGATCATTGAGTTCAGCTCATGAAAAATGGCAGCAAAAACAAAAGTGTTGCGTTTACAATTTTGTTCAGTATAAGTTTTGTTCATATGCATATGTATGCAAATATATATTTGATATATAAATACATATATATGCATATGCATATTTATGCAAATATAAATGCATATTAGTTTATCAAGCTACTAGTCAAATTTATTTTTCATTATATGCAATGTTTTGTCATTTTTTTTTGTTTATTTTTGACTGTCTTTAATTCTTGTCAGTAGATATCACTTGGTAATTTATCAACCACAGTTTTAACCTGTACTCTGTTATGTAAAAATTTAAAAAATGTACCTGACCCTGTATTGTCTCCTATCACGTTCACCATATAATTGTTGTTATGGTGTGCTCTGTTTTGTTATTACAATAACTATATTTTCTGTGTTCTTTTTTAGGAGCTGGTTGTAATGGGAGCACCTGGGTCATATTACTGGATGGGCACAGTTAAAGTTTTAAATCTCACTGACAACACATACTTCAAACTAAATGATCAAGCTGTCAACGCCAGACACTATACATATCTAGGCAAGTTCCTGCTTTAGATCTCATATCTTTACTTTTAAATGGGTATTTAATTGCATGTTCCATTAAATGCATTATGTTTAATGTATATATTTTCTTGAGAATTATAGATAACAAAGATTCTATTTTAAAAGAATATGCTTATAATGGCTTTTTTATGGTTTGTGCACTGATAACATTCCTGTATGTAGTACTGGTTTAATGCAGTGATGATTAGCCACAGATATTTGTGAATGGCATTTCTCATTTATATTAAATCAGAATACAGGATGGAAAGCCCCTGACACAGTATGTTTGGAGTGCAATAGGGCATTTTTTAGGAGAATGTGCATCATACATTGGGTCAGTTAATTAGAGACCCACTCAGCAACACGCATCTTGCAGAACATGATTTTATCCTTAATCTACTGCTCATGACTTAGAAAGTAGGGGGAGTCATGGTGATAAATCTTGTTTTATTTGGGGTGGGATCTAAGTGGCTTCCACATTTAATTGATCTTTACTGTAACAAAGACCACTGAATGGTAAAGGAGCAGGGCTATCTGCACCACTACACTCAGTAGTACTATAGTTTGCTAACAGTTTGCTGGGTTGGGGGGACACCTGCACATTTTTAACTTCTCCATTGCAGTCGTATATATGTATCATAATTACGCAAAGCTCTATCTTTCTCTCTCTCAGATACAAGGCAACAGTAGAGTTAATTGTCAAGCCCTGTTAATTTCTGTTTCACAATTTCATAAGTAGGGATTTCTATCTTGCTTCATGAAGTCCATAATCTGTTAGATGAATAAAAGTGAGAAATACATTTATACATGGTGTGCAAATAATATTAAAAAGCATATACTATCACATTTACCAGAATATTTTGATAACCCGAATAAATAAACAGATATATAGGGCAATATCTTAAAATATGTTCCCTTCCAACCCACTCCCATATGGATTAACTCACAAACTCACCCTCATGCTGGACTGCCACCTCTGTGGTCGAACATCTTGGTGTGTACTGATGGTGGGGAGGCCTTCCCCCCACATCCTCACTGACTCCCATTCTTTACTGTTGGGTTTTCATGCTGCGACGGGCCGGAGACATAAAGAGAGACACTAGCAGTTTGTGCTATGCTGGGGAGGTTATCAGTTTGAGACCAAGGCCTCCTGTGATTGGCTGCTCACTAACAAGGACTACCTAGTGGAATGGACAGTGAAAAGGGAGAAAAAGACAAACTAGGGGACGTGACAAGTAACTAGTCACTAGTTAAAACCCCTTTTACTCCTGCCTAATTGCTTAGTTGTCCGTGTCTACTACTACTTACATTATTGGATTTCGTAACCCTTCCTTTTTTAAATTTATTAACCATAGTTGTGTGTATCTTGACTGCTTGGACTGTCTGATCCTGTCTCCTCGATTAACATTATCTGATTTTTTTGCCTTCAACTTTACCCATCACCCTATAACCATCTCAGGTAATATACACACCTAAGGTTTCAACTGCTGAAAATGTAATATATAGGACTGTATGGGTAAAGAATGGTATTGAGAATTGGCCTGGATGCCCTTAAAAAAGGGATTATTTCATTTTCATATAGGCTAATGCCCCAGGAGGTCTTTCTTAGAGAAGCTCACAATCTGTTAAACTCTGTAGAAACAGGAAGGAAAAAAAATGATCTCTGTGTAAATAATTTCTCTCTGCTTGAAACTGTCATAGACAATGCAATAATTATAAGCACAGTGATAAAAAAAAGCGTGTGAGCACAATATTGTCCAGACCCACCCTTACAATATGCAGGACACTGGGAGAAAATATTTTGTGGGACCCTCCTCTCTAACACAAATACATATATGATTACATAGATAAGTAGTCACAGATTACACTGGATTTTCATTTTGTCTGGAGGATTTCTGTATGCTGGTGCTGGTTATCTCGTACGACCACTATGAATATTTCGTTACAAAGGATGGAGAGACATGTCTGCATTTAAGTTGCTGTTATTGCAGCAACCAGAATGAAATGCGACCATCTAGCTGGAGCAAGAAGCACAAAGGCCTGCCGTCCATTTTGTCCCTGTTATCTATTATTTCATCAATATGTTTGCTATTTTATGATAGTTATTCTGCAGAAGATGCTTGTTTTTCAGGTGAACACTGAACTTTTGAATTATAACAAGGACTTTTTGAAAGAATAGTGTGTAGGTGCAAGGCGATGTTTGCAGAAGATAAAGTGTCTTATACTTAGAAAAAAGTCTAGTGAAAGGGGGAGATGAATTTGCATGATATTGTGACAGAGTGTGACACTGTTTATAAAGGTGCGAAAGCACAGTGTAAGAGTTTGTATACATTTTTGTATATTAACGGTATGAGCACTACAACAGAATTGATTATGCTATTCTGCTAAAAAGTTTTGAAAATGGGTGCTTAGTAAACAGGCAATTTATATTGTGTAGTTGATTTTAAACAGTGAACGTTGATAGCAGCATACAAAAGATAAATATAAACACTAATATGTGAGTGAATAGATAAATAATACATGAAAAAGTCGTATCCCCAGGTGTACCACACAAAAACACCCAAACAAATACAAGAAATAAAGAATGTGGAAAACACAAAATACGTATAAATAAAATTACAACAACCTGAAAAAATATTGGTAGAAAATTCCACTGATATAGCAGCATACAAAAGATAAATATAAACACTAATATGTGAGTGAATAGATAAATAATACATGAAAAAGTCGTATCCCCAGGTGTACCACACAAAAACACCCAAACAAATACAAGAAATAAAGAATGTGGAAAACACAAAATACGTATAAATAAAATTACAACAACCTGAAAAAATATTGGTAGAAAATTCCACTGATATAAATATATGATATCTAGAAAAAATCTGAACAATACATAGCGTAATACAGTATTAGAAAAAACACCACCGTGCGTATATGATAGAACACTCACAAACAAATGGGAATTAAAGGCTCTTCACCCTTCCAAGGGTACTGGAGGTAGAATTATTCTGTATTAAAGGCTCTTTGGTTTGGAACAAAGGAAAAACAGCCAAAATAATGAAGTAAAATTTAGACAAGATAAATCTGCCTCTTTGGCTGACATAATCAGAATCCATGATCTCAGCCAATCACAATGCTTTTCAATACAAAAGCAATGGATTGGTTAAGATTGTCAATTTTGAGGTGGTCTGGGGAGGAGGGGCGGGTGGTTATTGGGAGGACTGAGCAAACATTGCAGGATGACTTGGCAGTTTTGGACAATATACTAAATGTAGTGGCTAGTTCGAACAAGTGCAATAGCAAGATTTTTTTTAACATAAATGTATGACTACTAATGTATTACATTAACTGATGCTTCACTTGCTATGTGTTATTATCTAATACTTTTTACACATGTTTATGCCATTGGCACTGTTTAGAAATCTCAGTTTAGCTGTGTTTTCATTTTCACTGTAGGATATGCTGTTACAGCTGGTCATTTCGCTCATCCAACAAGCATGGACGTGGTTGGTGGAGCACCCCAAGATAATGGAATCGGAAAGGTAAGACTTCCGTTGCTCAGATACATAGCAGAACGTGACTTATTCAGAACGGATCTCTCTACTTCCAGAAAGTTGATGACCAGAAGACTTTTATTTCCTTTGTAATCGTAAACTTATTTTTAGCTCATTGTTTGTGATGTAATGTGAAGTTGTCAGCCAAACTTTTTTTTTTTTATGACACAAGGTTATGCAGCACAAATGATTCAAGTTGACAGAGAAATCAGATTATATGTTGAAATATGAGAACACATGATCTCTTTTGCAAAACTCAATCTTGCATTTATCAGTATTTAAAACAACGATATAAAATAATAATAGTAATACATTCATATTATACATCAAGCTAAATTTTTAGCTGATGGTTTTGAAGCCAGCTGCCATATTAAAAGCATTGCAGTAGGCAAGTGAGTGAAGCAGCATAATGTAAACGGGTAACCCATTATTGGAGCGTTTGTGTCCGAGGCCTTTTTTGGCACTTTTGCCATGTATTTATTCTACCACAATTTCCCTCCTTTCTGTTTACTAGCACCCATACATATTATATATACTTTTTAAAGGAGAAATAGGGATTTCTTTTGATATCCTATATGTATATATAATGCAGTATTAAATAGGAATGGAATAGTCAAAAATGGAAAAAATTCCAACATGTTTAATCATTTTTACACACGTGAAAAGTAACTCAAAATAGATTCACTAATTAGTTCTAATTGTTAAAATTCCCCAAATGTCTAGGATTTCAATCCATTTTTACGTTTTACAAAACAAATGCTGCGTGGTGTGAATTTTGTTTTTAAAGCTAAAACTTTGCAAACTTTGGCATGGTGAGAATACAACTGTCATTGTACTCACAGAATCTTTTATATAATTACTATCCTCAAAGGACATGTGTCATAAATGGTTAAAGTGACACTCTTCATCTATAGTTAATGGTGAGATAAGCAATTTATGTTGTGTTTTCAAATGTGAAATTCCTACAGACTAATATGTATTTAGAAAAAAACTAGCATGTCTACTTTGTCAGTAAATATATTTGGAAATCTAAAATGTATCCCTTTTCATGGAAACAAAAGTTCTGATTTAATGCATTGCATTTCAGCTAGTGCAATCCAGTTCAGTTCAGTTCAGTGCAGCTAATTCTTAGGCTACGCCTTCATCTATGGCTTTTTTTCAGCAATACCTTGACCTTCTCCCACTTTACACTTTACAGAGAAAATCACTCTAGTCAGCAGACCACAACCAGCAAGGATCCTTGGGGAACATAAATCATTATGATGTCCTCCAAAACACTAAAAAATGTTATGAATTGAAAGAGTGGTATTGGCAGAATATCAAGAAGATAACTGATTCACTTCATACATAATGCTTAGTACTTTATCCTAAATTTTATAAACCATATCCCATAAAAATAAATGTTGAGAAATCATGCTGTAAATATGCAATAAAAACAGATTTTTTTTTTTACTAATAAAATAAATCTTCTATTCTTGAGCTTCAATGCTGAGGAGTCTGTATATCGGCATCTCTGTATTTTAAGACTTAAGAAAAAAAATCCACTCATTGGGCAAAATGTGCTTTTCAAGTTTAAATTATATGGTAAATGTGTTTATATGACCTGGAAATGGTCTTTGGCTGATACGTGCCTCAAGCAGAATGTGACAAAATGAATAACTGTTCATCCAATAGATGCGTCAACCTGTGTAGATTAAATGCAAAAGGTTCCAATGACTCATTTGAGAAGCTCTATCATACTGTTCATTTAACATTATCCTTTGATATGTCATACCTGTGGTGCCAGTCCATGGTGTCTCAAATATTGACTGAAGAAGGGGTATTAGTGCCTGAAAACTAGCAATTGTTTTTTTTTTTTTTTCACTTAACCAACACACATATCACCTTAACATCACATATATATTTATATATGTATATATATATGTGTGTGTGTGTGTGTGTGTGTGTTTATTACAAATGTACTTTTGTATATCGTCAACTTTTGTACTTAAGCAAATCTGATGTGACATTATTTTTTCACTTTGTTACATCTTTACTCAGAAACAGATATTAATGCATCAAGTCTATGTAGACGGTAATATATGCTAAGCACATCTACTTTTGCAGACTGTGTAATTTGATATTCCCTTTGAGCTTGATAAACCACAGTCAATAGTTGTTCGTAAACATTTGACAAAGTAATTGCGTAAGTACTGTATACTCATCACTAAAATAAAAATCTAATATTGATCAAAGCATGTTAAAAACAATTATTCAATAGCAGAAGTTAAACACAGTGAAAAGTTAAGAAAATGTATTACTGGAAGATAATTCTCTAGGGGACTGGCGCTCGATCCACATTTCTCATGTCTCCATTTCTTTTATAACAGCTACAAAAAGCTTTTACTTTGTATGTTATAATAAAAAAAGAAAACATTAAAAACCAACTTTGCATCAACTGAAGTGCATGTAAGCCAAAGCTGAGTGATCATTTGCTTGTCAAAAACTTTTTGTACTTCCGACTGCTTAATGCTCTGCCAGTCAGCTAAGGGTGCACTTGACAATAATATATGTACATTTGTGAAGATTTTGTTGTATTGAATTGCTCTTTTTTAATCTTGTTAGGTTTATATCTTCAGAACGGACAGGAGGTCAGGATCACTTGTTAGAATTTTTCAAGCACCCGGAAAAAAGGTCTGCTTATTTCTAGATACATTTTACTCTTATGCATTTGCTGCCACTGACTTTCTTGAAACCCGTAATTTTATGTAAAATGTGTGTGCATTACAAAAAATGCAAGCAGGATGGCTATCTTAACCCGCTTACATAATTTCCAATTAACATTTACAGATGTCTTACAAGCATAGTTAATGGGACAGTTTTGGGTCTCCATTTTAGTACTGTTTGATAAGCTTTCCAAATGATATAACATTTTTGGATAAACTTTTAACTTGAATTATTTTTTTTAATAATATTTTAATTTTGTAATATTTTTTATAGGTTTTTGATATATGTATCTATTATTTTTCTTACATATGATATATTTTTGATAATTTAATCATTTTAAAAGTAGCTCTAGAAATAATAAATAATTTGGCAATATTGTTCAGCAATTTTAAATCAAGGGCCTTAGTTGGATCAGAACAACCCTTTATGCATCATGGAATAAATGCAAAAAAAAAAAACAAAAAAAAAACATAAAACAAGAAAGCAAAGCAACTCGCCTATAAATGTTCAGTCCCTGTTTGCTCTACATCTGTATACCGAGGTGGAAGTAAAAAGGAGTCCATGTTTTCCAAACTAATAGACACCAGGGACTTTCATGTCCCCTCCCTTTGCTCCTACCCCTGTTGCCTATAAATATTAAAGAGAAATTTGGTAGCTGTGTGCCTATTTCTATGTGTTACTGTGAGACTGTGCACCTGTTTCTGTGTGACTGTGTGCCTATACCTGTGTGTGATGCTTTGCCTTTGTGGGACTGTGTACATATGGCTACGTGTTGCAGTATATGTTTGTCATGGTGTGCATGTGACTGTGTATCTGTGTGTGACAATGTGCATGTGACTGTATGTGATAGTGTTTGCATGTGACTGTGCATCTTTGTGTATGTGATTGTGTGTCTGATGGCTTGCCTGCATTTATTTGTGTGTCTTGTGTGAGACTGTGTGTCTATGTGGGACTATGCGCTTGTGGCTGTATGTAATACTGTATGTGTGTATCTATGTGTGAGACTTAATGTGACTGTGTGCCTGTGATTGTATGTGACTATGTGTGTGTGTTTGTGACTCTGTGTCTGCATCATAGGCGTGCGCACGGGGTGTGCCGGGTGTGCCTGGGCACACCCTAATTTCCACGGCACGCCTATGTATATTGAGACCGGCAGGGGAGATCTCAGGATCTCCCCTGTCGGCTCATGCAGAGCCGGCGCTATCCGAGCGTCGGCTCTGCTCTCAGCCTCCCTCCCCACTGACCCGCATGCAGGGAGGGAGGCAGGAGAGGACCGGTGGAGCTATTGCCGGCAGCTCCGCCGGGTTCCTCTCGCGAGATATGAGCGTTGCCACGGCAATGCTCAAATCTCGCGAGAGTGAACTCTAGCCCCACAGGGGCTAGAGTTCACTCTCCACTGGACCACCAGGGATGGAATCAGAAGCAACAAGGATCCCCCCTCCCTACATAGGTAAGAAGGGAGGGGGGATAGCAAGTAATGTACCCCCACCTCCACCCCCACAATCACCCACCCACATACAGCACCCACAGACATACACAGCACCCAACATACAGCACACATACAGCACCCACACACATACAGCACCCACAGACATACAGCACCCACACACGTACAGCACCCACACACATACAGCACCCACACACATACAACACCCACACAGCACCCACACAGATACAGCACCCACACAGCACCCACACACATACAGCATCCACACACATACAGCACCCACACACATACAGCACCCACACACATACAGCACCCACACACATACAGCACCCACACACATACAGCACCTACACACATACAGCACCCACACACATACAACACCCACACAGCACCCACACAGCACCCACACACATACAGCACCCATACACATACAGCACACATACAGCACACACACATACAGCACACATACAGCACCCACAGACATACAACACCCACAGACATACAGCACGAACAGACATACAGCACCCACAGACATACACAGCACCCACAGACATACACAGACACACACAGCACCCACAGACACAGCACCCACAGACATACACAGCACCCACAGACATACACAGCACCCACACACATACAGCACCCACAGACGTACACAGCACCAACACACAAACAGCACCCTCACACACACACAGCACACTAACGGTACCCTCACAAACACAAACAGGACCCTAACAAACACACACACAGCACACTACCAGTACCCTCACACACAAACAGCACCCTCACATACAGTACATTAACAGCACCCTCACAAGCGCACACACACACAAACAGCACCCTCACATACAGTACATTAATAGCATCCTCACAAGCACGCACACACAAACACCCTCACCCACATAGCACACTACCAGCACCGTCACACACACATCACACTAACAGCACCCTCACACAGCACACAAACACACTCAGCAGTGTGTGTATGTGTATATATGTGTATATATATATATATATATATATATATATATATATACACACATATATATATATACATACATACATATATATATATGCGGCGTGTGCTTGTGCTTTAGGGTGCACACCCTAATGCAATAGGCTGCGCACGCCTATGGTCTGCATGCATGTGACTGTATGTGTATATGTGTGCGACTGTGTATGAACCTTCAAATTAGTAGATGAAAAATAAAGTCCTCAGCACACAGCAATGTAAAGGTCAAATGATAGTTAATTCAGACATCAAAAGGCTGGGCAATGTTTTGATGCTCCTGGCGTCTTTGCCAAACTATAAACAATAGTGAATAATACAACATTGCATGTAGGTGTATCTATCACACAATAAACCAATTAACATGCAGCGCTCTGTATCACATATGTACATTCATTAGTGGACAAAATATTGAACACTTTGTGAATCATTGTTCTCTGTCTATACAATAATATCACTGTCTATTAAATAAAATATCCTGTATAATTGTGACCAAGTACATGTTTTCAAACAGTAAAAGGAAAACAGTAAAAAAATAAATAAATCTGGAATTAATGTATATAAACTTTTTAAACTTTTTAACATTTATCCTATATCAATATATAGTGTTTATATACAGGTGATTGTGAGTATCACACTAAAATATATCTACTTTACCTATATGGTAATACATTCTATCTTTCCACTGCCAAACAAATCATATAAAATATAATAATTAGACACGATACAAATAATATATCATAATACATTTCTAATATGTTTATTTTTATTTTTTTATTAATTGATATTATCTGTACAATAAATAAAATTTTGCCTTACATGAATAGATCTTCTGTTTGTGGTTTTCTGGGTAGAGCCAGGAAAATAGAGAAAAAGATACCAGAGACAAAAAATAAAATAAAAATAAAAAAGAATCTCTCAATTTTGAAATTACATTTTATAGCTGATATTTCCAATTTTCTATCCTTATAATAATTTTTCATCTTTATAATTATTTTGCATTTGTGTGATTATGTATGTTATGGCAGTGTGTGTCTGACTGTGTATGCAACTGTGCATGTATTTGTGTGTATGTGACTGGACCCGTCTGTGTTTGTATGTGTGTATGTATGCACGGCACAGTGTATGTATATGATGGAATAAAAAAAGGGTAAGAACAGACAAGAAGTAAGAGGGTTCATGCATAGTTTAAAACTTGGGGGAGAAGGGCAAGATACATATATACCCTGGATGCCAAGTGACCTAATTACGTCTCTGTCCACTACACATTCTTAAAAAATCATGTTCCAGTTAGAAAAATAGAAATATTTCTTAAAATTTGATGTTTCAGTTTTTTTCAGTAAATCAAGAAATGTGTCCCTATAAAGATATCAGAGAGAAAATCATTTCCCCAACTTTACTTTTAGCTATAACTGTTTTTTATTTGAATATTGCTATCTGACTTCTCTATTGTAATAAATAATTTCAATTGTATAATCAAACTCTGCCTCATGCAATTATAACTAAGCCTCTTAAGCATCTGATACCTGTCAAGTGGACAAGCTTGACCTCTAGAGCAAGGCTTGTCTTATCAAGCTGACATACAGATTAAGAAAATAGCTTTATATATGAGTGGGAGCCAGCTGGTGAACATAAAGAATTTGTAACAACAGATTCAGTGATTTAATCTAAAACAAGTCTGAAATATTTTATGTTTTAGGAACTTCAGCCAGGATAATGTAAATATTACTATTCAACTTAGCTAATTACTTAGTCACAAATTTGGTCTTGGTACATATTTTTATTGCCCCTCCTTCTAGTCATTTAATGGGAAAGAATTTGAAGATGTTTCATTTATTCCATAAACAACAATGGTCTTTGCAGTAATCTCAGACTCATTGTAATTTCAATCAAGGGAGCATGTGGTCAGTAAAATAAACAGAAAAACATGAGCAAATTCAAATAGTGCTAGAATGTTTTCAGTTAGGAAAAATGAATAAAGTATAAATTAAAGGGACACCGTAGGCACTGTATCTGCTTCATCTCATTAAACTGGTTATAGTGTATGAGTCCCCTGGTGCCATCATTTCTTTCGGCATTAAACAGTTTTTAATGTTGTAATGTTTTAATGTTAAACAAGAGACCACGGCAGTCCGTCCCCTCTGTGCTGCTTTGGCTGATAAGGAAGTATTACCCTGAGCAGCAATGGGCAGCTGTGATTGGCTGAGAGTGTCAGCTGACTGCTTTTAGCCTGTCAGAGTTCCAACTGACGGTATGAATGGGTATGACAACAAGGAAGTGTGTAATCTCTGCCTTAGCTACACATACAGAAGGGGCCGGACTGTGGGTGGCCAGGGACTCTTATTTTGTGGCATACTGCACAAAAATGGTGCAACACTGAATGGAGGGACAGTGCCAGGGCACTCCAGGCACTATAACCAATTCAAAGAGACAAAGTGGTTATAGTGACCACAGTGTCCCTTTAAGCCTCATTATTGAAATTAATAATTTGTTTACTGTCTTGACGTTTTGCTTTCTCAGAAGGTGACATGGTAGAAGGTGAAGGTGACATGGTCTCCCAATCTTCCCTAAATTCCTGTCCTGCTCACATTGTATTACTGTCAAGTTGGACTGTGACTAGTTTCCCAGAAATCCTAGCTTGACGTGCAAATGTCAATACTATTCAGGGAAGCCTTCTATGTTGTTGTCATCATCGTTTTCATCATTGTTGTCATTGTCATCATTCTTTTCCAGATCCAGTCACAGCTTCAATTATCACCGCATTCTACTGTTTCCATGTATGCCTTCCGTTCTTTAGTCCATCAGCACTCTATGCCCCTTGAGACAGAAAATAATATGAGCAAATAGTTTCATGATTTTTGCCTTCCTTTGCCCGTGCCAACTATATTCCTCATGGACTAACTATATCCATTCATCCCTCTTCTCCTGGCTTTGCAAACCATTCCCCTTAGATATGTATCCCATTTCTCAAATATTAATAATGTATACACATCCTTGAAATACTGCTTACCTTCCTTTCTATTCCCTCATCTTCACAGCCGTTGCCTCTTTGTAGTCACATTCTTATCTGTGTTCCTTTTATCATGTGTTTCTTTTAGTCCCTTTACTGGAAGAAGTTCCCTCATGAGTTTTCACAAACATCTGAAAACAAGCCTTAATTCTTCCTTTTCTTCCATATTAAAATCCCTCTTGACCTAAACTGACTTCCTTTTTCCTCTATTTCAGTCCAACTTGTCAAAGTCATTAATTCTTCCTTTTATTTCAACTCTTTAGAAGTGTACCCATTGCCCATACTTTTGATCCTATTTTCCACAGTTGCTAAAATGATTATTTCACCTCACTCTAATGTATATGCACAAAGTGACCTTATCCATCTTTAAGGCAGTGTTTAAGGCATGTTACCAGACCAAGAACCTTTCTTCTTAAAACATCATAATGAAGACCTTACATTCCTCATTACCCATCCAAAATATCTGTACGATGTTAGACAATATTTTGAAAGGATAGTCAGAATGTGAATGTTCTTATTATGGTATCCCAAGCAGAGGTGAAAGACATTGGGTACTGGGGGATACTCTTTAGGTAGCAGAGTGACTGTGTAATAAGCTTTATGTTAAAAGGTTATGGTGTAAAGAGTCCCTTTTAAAAACAAAAAAAAATATAACCAGAGGTTTTCATAAAGCCATAAACTGGATCCATAATCTAAAAAAATAAAATAAATTCTTGTTAGAAAAATGGTTCACTTCTTAGACCTTGCTTGACTGTATTTTTTTCACTTGAGATGTCTATATCTATTCAGACAAGCCATTTAATTTAACATGCTAACAAGTGTGTCATGTGTGGGATGATGTACTGAACGCTTTGTTATGACTCGACTTGGTTACAGATGGGCTCTTACTTTGGCTCCTCCTTATGTGCAGTTGATCTGAATGCTGATGGACTCTCGGACCTTTTGGTTGGGGCACCCATGTTCTCCGAAGTAAGGGATGAAGGACAAGTCACAGTGTACATGAACAGTGGAAATGTAAGTATAAATAAAACTAATAAATGTTATATGTAAAACACATAGAATCTACTCAATATAAAGTAAATAACCATAATCTATATCTCAACTAATAATTGGCTGCTCCACAGCCGGTATGCTTTTGGGGAATTGCCCGCTGGCTTCCATATACTCATGACATATTCCTGCCTGTGGACTTCATATTTTTTTGTATTAAAAGTAAATGCTAGTTATTTTCCAAGGGTCTGTTGGCTACTTTAATCATGGAATATGTTCTCATGCAAACTCTAAAAATTATTACGGACACAAGGTTCACAGCAATTCGTAGGTTTGTAAATAAAATTATGTTTAAAAACCTGCTAATTTTAATGTGCAATAATGTGTAATATGAGTTTTAAAGGTAAAATAATACAATTTACTATCTTTAGATTCTACCTTGTTTCTCATTGTACAGTGCTGTGGATTATGTTGATGCTATCTAAATAATTGTAATTGTAAATATGTCAAATTTCATGTATCCCTCCCCCCACCCCCTGACTGGCTCGTGCAACTGAGGGGGGATTGTATGAATACTGGCAGTTGTTTTCTTTTTGCCCCAGTACCTTAGTCAGGAGTCTGCTTTTTTAGCTTATGCTGTTAAAGCAGCTCAGTTACTCTTCTTACAGTATTTTGTTGAAGAGAGATTTCCTCTTCAATTTCCCTTCCTAGCATTTTTAGCAGTCAAACTGAGATATGGAAGACTATATATATATATATATATATATATATATATATATTTGAGTGTGTGTGTGTCCAAATGTATTTACCATCTTATCTCAAGGTGTTTCCCTGCTTTTGTTACATTCCATTTTTGGAACCTTTATCTCAGTGTTTTTCATGCTACCTCTCTATCTCTTTTAAATCAGCACTGTTACCATCTGGGTACTTTGCAGTATTTGCAAAGACCCCTGGCTGTTACTTTGCCGCAGGGAGTCGGGGGGGGTCAGCAAAGGTGAGTTCTACTTATCAGAACCTGGCCCTCACAGACGCCGTCCTCTTCTCCTGGTGGGTCCTCTTCAGCTCCTGGCGCTGAATTTCATGCATGTACAAGAGTACAGCATTACAGTTTATAAATGAGCCCTCAAGATCCTTTATAGATGAAACCAGTTTGCTGCAGCCGTCATTTGTGGCGTTTGAGGGATTCACACTTTCAGACGTTGGTAGTTCCGCTCAGTGTCTAGAAGTGTCAGTCCCTACTTTTTCTCAGTATACTTTCTGACTGGGATGGAATTTCAATCACATTTCAACACATATGAGTATTTCACAAAGATTCTATCTCTATGAACTAGTAATTTCTCATTGCCGCTTTAATATTCTATCCATCTTAAATCTCTACGTATGAAATGATCTTATATCTCTCTATATCTAAGTGAAATCCTTCTCATATCTTTCTTACTCAGGGTTTTCTTGTATTTTTCCTCATTATCTTGGGCTCTGTCACTTAGTCTCTTCTTTGCATTGCCCCTTCCATTTCCTTTATACTGCACTGTCTCTCAGTCTCCCATTTCACCTTTCTTAGACCTTTTACACTTCCCTGTTTTATCTTATGCTCTTGCCCCACCATTGCACTTGTCTTAGCTGCTCTGTCTCAAAACCTATTCCTCCTTCTCTCTCCCTGTGTCTCTGTCTCCCCTTCAGGTCTCTTTCACTATATCTCTACCCTCTGCCTTATGCATTCCTCTCTCATCCTAACTCATCTTATGGTGAAGTCCACTTCTAATTTCTAAGCCCTACTCCTATGTCTACTACAGTAAATATTCAAAAATATTTGTATCTTGTTGGCATGGTGGTTTATTCTTTTCAGCTATATATAATACTAGTCGGAATTATCCTGGTCATCTCTCTCATTTAATCCACTGTTTTACATTGTACAGGGCCTTCAATAGCCACTGGGATACCACTCATATCACAGAGTTACCACACATGCGAGGGAGGCAACAGAGAAGCAGTGAGAATTAAGCAGAAAACTAGTGGTTTCTCCCACTCACTTGTCAAGTAACATGGAGGATAGGAACCTCCATGATACCTGTCAAGAGTTACTTAGTAGGAGCTATCCTGCTCTCCTGTTTAGTTTTGGATCTACTGGACTGCATACACATAGGCAAGCGATGGTATGCGCAGGACTAGCATTATCAAGTGCATCTGTACTGTAGCCTTGTGGACTAAATATTTGGCACTTCTGCTTAAACCTTGCCCACTCAGTATTTTTTCTAATATAACATTTATATGTTACAATAACTGCTACATTTTCCAGCATTGTAAAGACAGGTGTCTAAGAGCAAAAAGTGGGGGGTTACAATATGGGTCTAATAAATACTCCTATTTATGAACAGCATTTAACACTTATTATCACTAATCATACCTTTAAGTTATATGTAAAAATATTGAGAATAGTTCTCTCGAAGCAGTAATGAAACCTACTGTATTACCCAGAGTATCCTTAGTTTTGAAGGATTTTGTCCTTTCACGAGTAGTGAATGAAGATCTCCAGCTCTGTCCCCTTGACTTCTCAGTTGATTTCCATTTCCATAAATCTGTTTTACTTCCAGACATATAGTAATTTCCTAGAGTTTACAGACTTTATAATCCAGCAACGCTCTTGGAAGCAGTTCAAAAGCTGTTGTTTTTTTCTTTACTTGTCTTTATTGATCTATAGCAAAAGTCTCAAGGAAGTGCTTAAGACCCTCAAATCAGGATAAAAAAACCTCCTAGATAAAGACATTTAATTTTCTGTTTCTCTTGTGTGTTCATTATGATAATAAAGCTTTTACGTCTCGCCAAACGAGGCTATTTTTAAAGGGAATGTTGTTTAGAAGAAAAAATACAGTAACAGTATAATTTAGAGGAAGAGAGGGAGTTTGAGCTAGGATCGTTAAACTCGAAGGCTTGTGAAGGTCTGGTTTTAGTTGGCACCATGGGATCTATTTTAAAATGGCAAAACATCACAATATTTGTTATGTTTTTGTGCTAAAAATTTGATTTACAGCTTTTGCTCAGAACCATGGTTCTCTGTTGCCTACATTGTTTACAACATACTCTAATGTTCTATTTAGGAACACCTGGGTGTGAATTTGTCTCTTAGGTACACACTATAGTGATATGTATATAAATAGTATGCATGCAAAGAAAATCAAACTTACTAATGAATGTACCCTCTTTGTAGATTTTAATCTGTATTTCATATAACATTTTTAATCAAAGTAACACTATAGTGTTATGAATACAAAACTGTGTTATTAACTCTGTAGTAACGCGGTGCCTCGTCAGCCCCCCCCTGTAATGCACATGTGTGGTGAACGCCACATGCACCTTACACCTTGAATAAATGAATTCCCATGGGGATTTTGAAGACACTGGACATCCTCATGCAAAGCATTACAACGTCTAACACTATTTCATGGAGTTAAATTCTGTAAAAATGCAGTAGAACCTCTAGTGGCTGTCTAGAATGTATAATGTATAATGCTAGCAAGCGATGATATGCGCGGGACTAGCATACCTGACTTTAACACATTCATTATTAATATTGATTACTAAACTATGCAAGCAAATATTTACATTCAGACCTATTTAAATGTATCCTCTTAACCTGTGCTCTCACAACAATTCCACATATTACTGTTGCCTTGAAAACAGATAACTCTAAAATTCATACTGCACCCCCTGACTTTTTCATGGTAAGCTCCAAGGACCATAACCACCACAATATATTATAATGGTGGAGAGTTTGGAATTCCAGTTTTTAAGGGATTAATGATGATGATAACCTAGCATTTTAAAACTGGTTTAGGTAGCATTTATGTCATCTATGTATATATCCACAGCAGATTTTGCATGGCTAGATATATTGAACATGGGAAACTGTGCCAGACAGAAACACTCATGTAAACTCTGAAAGTACTGCCAGTAAGTCCACAATTTATATTCTAAGGAACAATACTTTCCAATACAGAATACTTTTTTAGTTGTAATATGATCATTCATGACACACGTTGTGTTTGATAGTTGTGATGGGGTTTGTTTAATAGTTGTGGTGTTTTTTAAAAATTTTTTTTTTATCTATTAACTGGTTAAGGACTATTGATGTTCTATAGTGCCTTAATGATTTGAGGAGGTTCTACTCTTACATGGAATGTTGTGCTACTATAACATTACTAGGGCTGTCAATGGGTTATGAAGGTAAATAACGAAAGTAAATAAATGGTGGTAAATACATCATGGTTGTAAAGGGCCTTTACTGATTAGATTATGAGGACAGTATGGTTTATGGCTCTTCAGGGTTTATCGCTGTTATAAAGGCTATCCTTCTATCCTTAACTATGCCTTTGAAAACACATCTATCAGCTCCACAGAAAAACCTAAGCATCATTTGTGTTAACTTGCTCTTTCTGTGAGGAATACAATTAACCCTTAATGATCATGTAAACTCAACCCCTGTCACAAAGCAATGTTTCCTGATTTTGCTTTAGCTCTTTCCCAACCTATAAAAACAATTTTATTTCCCTTGTATTCAACATGTCCAAATATATGATATTGGCACCAGTCACAAAGGCTTGTCATTGCTATGTGAGGATGTGCTCTTTGAATATATACTGAAAGCACGCTGTGTCTGGCTATGTAGGAAGCATTGTTTCTTTTCAGGTGTTTCCTAAACTGTTTTTGTTAAACTGATCACTCTATCAGCGGTCTGAACACGAGTGTAAAAAGCATCTAACTTTTCCTGTTTTTCAGGGAGTGCTGGACGAGCGGATCACTTTAAATGGTGACAATGCATACAATGCGCACTTCGGAGAGAGCATAACCAACCTTGGAGATATTGATGATGATGGATACCCAGGTTATTATAAATTCAGAATCATTGTAGTGTATACATACATAATTCTTTATTAATAGCTCAATCCACATGCAAGTGAGCTACCAGGGAGAAAACAAAGTCTATTTGTACAGTCAATAGACATAAATGGTACATGTGGAGAGAGGCTTTTGTTATTAGAGGTGGTATAAGACATGTGGGACATAAACAGAGGTTGGCTAGGTCCATTGGGACAGCTGCCCACCCCTTAAATGAGTGACCTTCATATTTGAATAATGTGTGCATGTTAGGGTTGTAACAGTAAAAAGTGGGTTGGGAGAGATATTACTCATGGAATAGTGAATGCTTAACTGTCAACATAGGGGTTTCTTGTATCGGGAAAGATATCCAGGTGGGGTCTAACAAGTCATGGTGTAGGTCAAGTTATATAACATCAAAGTTAAAGGAAAATAAGAGAAAAGAAAAGAACACACAAGCAACATTACGATAAGTATGCACAGGTGATAATACTGAGTCAAGATAACAGCAATGGAGGCCTCACATGGCCCCTCAAACTCAGTGAGGATATTTCTGCTGCCATCAGACAGCATAATGGGTGCCACGCAGGTGATCACCATTGTGGATGAGAGTCCCCATGGAGACCCTGGTCTAAATTCAGGCATGGTCGGCGGGGGTGGGAGGGGTCTAAGCTAGTCAGCCCCCTGTGCATATCTCTCTTAGGTGATAACAGGCCCAGATGGCTCATACAGTTTCCCAACTTAGAAAAGTCCCGCACGCAATGATTTTTGCCTCGGTAAGTTAAGACGAGTGTCTTGGGAACACCCCACCGGTAAGCAACTGCTTCCAAACGTTGAACCTGCAACAGAGCTGTCAACGACCTACTCCAAGCCCGCACTTTCCTTGTAATGTCAGGAAAAACAAGTAGTGTAGAGCCCTCAAACTGAACTGGGGACTTTATTCTAAAGTGTCCCTCTGCCTGTCAAATCTATATATAATTGCATGCTTCATTTGGTAAGAATCATCCACACTGAGATCTGTGAGTTTTGTGGGCAAAAAAGGCTATACATCTGTACATCCAGGCTAAACGTTGTCAGCCCTCCTATCCTAGAATTAATGCCTGTGCTATTTACGCCATTCACTGCTTTTCAGCACAGTCACTAATCAGTGTCAGAATCTCTGAAAATAAATTAACACATATATATATAACAAATAATATATATATATACATATATATATATAGATATATATATATGTAATACATTGCTAAACGCAAATACACACACCAGTCAAGCCATAAGACTTGCTTTTTCCACAGAAATCTCACTTTAACAGTGCTCTCACTACTGCAAGGGATTCTGGATTGGCGTATGCAAATGAGCTCAACAAAGAACCACATTTTTGCCTTATAATTCCACTTTATACATGGATTCCTGTTTCTGCTGTATACAACAGCTTTGAAACATAACTCAGGAAGAGGAGCAAAGCCAGTGAACCACTCATGGACAGCTGTTTTGTTGTTAATGCAACCCATCAGCATGAGGTTGGTTATTGACAGTAACCAACCATATGTATACATACATATACATAACAAGCCATAAAATGTATACACACTTTCACAGAGGATATCTTTAGAGTTTTTTGAAGTTGGATTGAATTATGGTATCAATGTATAGTATGATGTTTTCTCAAAAGATGTTGTTACCCGCATGCAGTGGTGTATCCTGTTTTTGTGCGGCCCTAGGCAGGACAAAACTCAGACGCCCCCCCCCCCGCGCACCACTCCCACCCAACCCTTCCCCCCCCTGCTCCGCATTCTAAATACACACACATTCACTGACATAAACACACACTCACTAATAGACACACTCACTAACAGACACACACACACATTCACACACACTAACAGGCAGACACACTCACTAACAGACACACACTCACTCACTAACACACATTAACAGACACACACAGTCAGACACACACTCACTAACAGACACACACACTCACTCACATTAACACACTCACTTTTTTTTTTTTTAACCCCCTCTCCCTCTCCCTGGGGCTGCCGGTCGGGCGGCACTGGCGAGGGAGCCCTTTCCTCTGAGCTGTCTGATGTCATATTCCGGCTCCCAGCATCACTCTGCGGTGCACGATGGAGCTGAGCAGAGCACTCAGAGGAAAGTGCTCCCTCGCCAGCGCCACCCGCCCAGCAGCCCGTCTGGCTTGTCAGTTAGCCGCGAGGCTAACAAGACATTTGCCCTGGGCATTTGGGGCGACTTTTTTTGCCGCCCCCTGGAAAATGCCGCCCAAGGCAAATGCATTGTTTACCTTGCGTCTAATATGTCCCTGCCCGCATGACTCTAATAGCAACATGTAACTAGGGATAGTCAAACAAAATGACTGAGGCACAGTTGTCATTTATGGAATATAAGACCATTTTAAAGTGGTAATAAAAGTTTTAAGAATGTTGTTGAAGTTCAACGACAATGGAGGCGTGAGTTTGCAACAGAGCCTCCAACAATTTCATTAATTTGAGATAAGTCTGAAACCCATGGCACTGTGTGTGATGTGCACAAGAAAGATCTGGTAGATCTAGTACAGTGACAAATCCTGCTTCATCGGCTATGGTATTGGAACAGTGCTGGAACAATTTTATACTCTCACCACATAAGTCTACCACACAATGTGCACGAGAGACAGAAGTTAGCAGTAGAAGCATATGGTGCATTCTTAAAGTAGCTAAGTGGAAAGGTCCCAAGATTATTACATGCAATGAATGAGGATGAAATTGAAACGGCATGTGCAGCAATCCCTCTGGAAACTTTGGGCAATGTTGTCCACGCAGCAGTTCTCCATACTAATAAGGGTCTAGATGCTAATGGTAACTAGTCTGAGCACCTCTAGTAATTGTAGAGGTTAAAGGTAACATGTATTCATCTATTGATGTCTGAATGAATTTAGTATTACAATATTTATGCAAGTATTTATTTTGCTGAAGTGTGTATACATGTTTCTGGCTACCTCTGTGTAGTATTAATGCTTGCTTCTTTTAACAGATGTTGCCATTGGAGCCCCAATGGAAGATGACTATTCAGGAGCAGTTTACATCTATCATGGTGATGCAGATGGAATTGTGCCACAATATTCAATGGTTGGTGCCTTATTTTGTTTATAAAGACAAGTGTTTTTTTCCTTCACTATTGTTTACATTATTATTTTTGTTATTATTATCATTATCATCATTCATAAGGTGAAAATCTTACAATACAAAATATCACAGGAACAATAGTTCTATATTGGTAGCTTGTACTTGAACTTTGGAGAGTTTCTGTTCTTTAATTTGCATCCTAGATACATGACATGCATCCTCAACTCACCCCTTTAACATTGACCAACATTGACCAACATCAGAGTTCTTGGGGCCCCTTATAAAGCTGTTGGCTAACACTCATGTACCCATCAAGCTTTTGCCTAGCCATCATGTACCCATCAAGCATTTGGCTAACTGGGCGTCATTGAAAATTTAGTCCTAAATCAACTTAGCAAATGTATTTCACAAACAAAGGCTATCTATGCCACTGCATTTTCAACAATACTCAGCAGCCTAATGACGTATTCCTCCGCTTTACTTGTGTTCATCTATTTCTCTCCCACCTTGTGTGTGTTTGCATTTCTCCCTCTTACCTCCCATTTGTGTGTCTATCCCCTTCTCCACACTACACTTGTCTGTCTCCCCCAACTTCCACTCCTACGCTCACTCCACCTTTAACCCCTTAAGGACCACACTTCTGGAATTAAAGGGAATCATGACATGTCACACATGTCATGTGTCCTTAAGGGGTTAAACAACCATCAATAATACCTACTGGAGAATGTTTGAGCAAGTGTTTGTTGGGGAATTGTTTAAATCAGTTTTCCTGTATATGGTTTTAAAGGCATATAGTCATTACTTCTCTTTTCATCTCACAGACAGATATTTTGTAAAGCTCTAGGCTAAGCAAATAAGTTTAAATTCCTTAGGCTGGGAGATGTTCTGATAATGTTAAAACTATGGGATAGGGGATGTACAATGTTCTTCTCATTAATGAGCCCCAATAATAAAGGGTCCATAGAGGTTAGTCCTCTAATCCAAAACACATATATATATTTCATATATATCTTTATTTGTAAATAGACTTTCAATGCTTGCATAAAAATAAATAATGTATTGTAAGCAGTAAGTTACAACAAAATTATGCTTTAACTTTACCTTCCTGTGCTCCATTTTGACATGCAATATATGGATTTTTTTTATTTTTTATTTTAATCTATTTTTTTTTTTTTACAAGATGTTAGTTTGTTTTAAGGTGTCATTACATCACAGTGTAAATGAAAATGCACATCTAACACACTGTTCAGTTGTACATTGTGCATATTAACCCCTCAAGGATACAACTTCTGGAATAACATGGAATCATGACGGAATATTTCCGTCACGTATCCTTAAGGGGTTAATACATATTATAGCCTAGAAGAATACATTGTTCCTTTAAAGAATCCCTCTGTGCTTCAAGAGGACATGCACAAATACAATGTTGCATGTTTAGAATAAGCAAAAGGCAATACAACTACAATTAATGCAGCTAATAAAGTTATTGCAACGCACATATTTTCAGGGACGTCTGGCTGCTTTCAGATTTGATATTTTCTGGAAGATTATACCACATATATCATGTATCTGCATGTAGTAGAGAATGAATACAAAAATATGCTTTTTTGCATATATACATATATGATCACATACACAGTGGTGTATACAGTGTTTGTATTTTTTCTACTACTTCCCAGTTAGTTTAGAAAATGTAGCACAGCATCATCAGGCTATTTGAATAAGGGATCTTTGCTCCCTGTGAGTCACATTCATTAGCAGCTGTATGAAACAGGGACATTCCTCTCACAAGAAAGTTTCTGGCCTCCATTTTCCCACACTATCTTTTGAAGAACCCACTCACATGCAGGAAATGCTGATAAATACATGTCCTTTCGCATATCATACTCATTATGCTACTTTAATACACACATAGAATGGGTTTTTTACTTTTTTTTTTAAATCATTATAAAATTACCCTCATTATAAGACAAAACATGTTTAAAAATAAAAACAAAACCAACTGCATGGTCATGTTTAGAATCTAGTATATTGAACACTTTTGCACACCTTTTTTACTGGAATAAAAACAGAACAAAACAAATCAAAACAAGTTTTATATTCTACCAAATACTCTATATTCTATGGCAGTGAAACCATGATTGAAAAAGAAATAAATAAATAATGAAACAAACAAAAAACACGAATGTGAAGCAATGCCATCATTTCATCTGAAAAATTGCAATCAGTAATTTGGTGTCTGCTTTTTGTTTTGTTTTAGACTTTATAAAATATTATAAATGTCAAGGGTTAGTTTATTGGATGCTGTGAAACTCTGCTTTGCAAAGAAAATAAATTGTATTGGATAGAGAGCCTAACATATGTGGTTTTTAGAGTGGGTGGGATTTGAGAAAGGCAAGAGCCACAATATCAAGCAACTAGAGACAGCAGGCCTTGTTGGAAGAGATGCACAGACAAGGGGTGACATAGTGGTTGAGAAATTGCTACTGATATGCTTCCATGGTTAAGCCGCTGGGAAAATTGGTGTATGGAAATGAAAATCAGCACAATTGGTGATTAAGGCACACATAAGGCAAAGACTTCAAAGTGGTGCTTTAAACCTCCCAGATTCCACTGATTTCTCACTGTGTGTGCTTAGAACAATTGAACACTATTTAGCAATGTCTGGAGTTGCTTAAGAGCTCTCGAGAGTCCGATCATGCAATTTTGAATGGCCACACTTTAGGATATAGCTATGTCTATGTGAATCATTTTGAATATATATTTCCATGGATCAAATGGAAAGGGATATCCATCCTCATTAGCATCCTTATTAGATAAGATAACTGTGGCGGACCTGGTATCATTCCCTGGGGTTGCCCGAACCGATATTTAGTTTTACCAAACAGACCCGTATCCCCCTATTCAGGAATCAAACAGAACTTGTAAGTTCATTTGAGCAGAGCCATCTTCAACCTATTGTTCCTGTAAGTTTTCTTGTAATTATCCTATTTATAGCAAAATCCCCCCTCTTATAATATTGTAAAGCGCTACGGAATCTGTTGGCGCTATATAAATGGCAATAATAATAATAATAATTTGTGTGGTCCCCCTCTTTATTGACTCAGAACACTGACCACCCCTGACTGTTAACAGCAATGAAAGGATTAACTTGAGTGCTTTCCATGGGTGGCCACCATTCGTATAACCAAACGCACGTGGGCCATTTTGTCTCCTGAACACAGGCAACCGTACTTTGTCGTCAAACTCCTTTCGGCTACACGCTCTTGTGAACCCCGGCGAAGACTTGTGGGATTCCTATAATGTTTCCTTATATTTTCAGGGTGATTTGTAATATTGTATGTTATTTCCTGTAACTAAAATATAATTGAGTTATCCAGTTTAGAACTCAATTATCTCACAGACCCAGAGCCTCCTGGAAAAAAAAAACAACCCTTGTAATGTTGCTGTTGAGACTCCATGTTAGGCGTCCATGCATAAAAAGCCGTGTATGGCCGAATAAAAATCAGTTGACTCCCAGAACTGTGTGTTGTCCAGTTACTGGGGGAATGGGCTATCATCACTGAGCAGCACTTTCTTCCAGCTCCAGAGGATTCCAGCTGAGATATTCGATCTTTGGATTGCAGCTCTGCTACAATAACAATAAGTGCCAGTAGACTTCACTCCACCATGTTGCTTACAATGGACGTGTGTACCCTGCTTAAAAGCACACTTTAATTAGCCACCTAAATAGTTATATCTCGTATTACGGTGATAGTGGCATTTCTTTGCTAAGTTTCATCGTTTGTTTGTTGATAGACAAGAAATAAAGTGGTGGTCGTGGCTCATTCGGAGCATGGAGTCAGTCAGTTGTAAGGATAAGACCTAGTTGGTTAGAAAAATATAGAGTGTATTGGCAGGGCCTCTTAAATAGTTTGATCACAACAAAGCCCACTATAGTAGTTTATTAAGGTCATGTAAAAAGGCAAATTTCACCAACAAAATGTGACAATTCCTTGTTAGACATGAGTAAACCATTGACATGTTTCCTGTTTGCATACCTACTTTTGAACAAGGGAGGTTTAACATATAAATAATATTGAAAGAAAACATTATGACAAGAATGTTTCAACAAGTGTTCTCTATTCTGTATATTTAAATGTAACTACAAAGCCAAACTTTTCATAAATACAATGTATCTTTCAACATTTCAATACTTTTTTCCATTCAGAGGCTTTCTGGACGAAGCATAGATCCGGTATTAAGGATGTTTGGACAATCAATTTCTGGAGGTGTTGATATGGATAAAAATGGGTATCATGGTAAGTGGAGACAATGTGAATATTTTAAAACTGATTTATTTAAAAAGATACTGTGTTAAAATACCACACATTAATATTTGATATAATAGGGTGAACATTAATTGGAAGGCAACTGCAAGTTCAATAATCAATAAATAATAAAATTCAATTAATCAATAATTCAGAATGTTTTTGATATCTTTAAAGAAGATGCAAACAAGTTAAACAATTGAACACGTTTACAAGTAAAAAGTTGTTTAAAAATAATTATTGGATAATATGAACACCCTATAGCTCATTTTGTATTTTGAATGGTTCAGTTGTTTTTTAAATTGTTTAAACATTTAAATACATCTGCTGGTTCACTGTGCATATCACATCCCACAATTTAAATCACATTCCAGAATACCAGAATATCCACCACACTGCTATAATATCCTCTGATAATGGCTGGTTAGAGGAGTGGTAAGGTCAGTGCTGTAGAACTGGAAAACCTCAACAGTAATTGTCCTTTTACTTAACATGGCATCGGTTCAAAAATATCTGCTATTATAAACATAACATACATCTCTATAACTTTGTCTCTGTCTTGCGTATGAACATATTTCAAAATTATACAGATGATCTGGTTAAAGAATTATGGTAATGTTTTGTGCATATTTTTTTGTGATCTCATAGGTTTCTGTCCTGTATGTGAACATTAACTTGATTGTGATGTTCCATCTATACCATTAGCAAAAAATGACATGCTCTTATTTCATTCTAACTTATGTCCTCTGACACTTTTGACCCTATTTTGCAAGGAATTATATGAAGTTATTATCCAAAGTACAACAAACATAATTGCAAGCTGGCACTCTCCTGAAAGAAAGGTGCCAGTATCAAAGTTGCCCGCAAACCTCAAATAAATATTCACATATACAAAAATGATACCACACTCGAAAAAATTATCTAAAAAGTTGTATGCAGAAAGTGCTTAATGTCTTGTCTTATGAGACAGTGTCAATAAATATGATTTGTTCAAATATATGTGCCAACGCTGATATATAACCTCCACCTTCATAGTGAAATACATGTGCAGAAATTATAATCAAGAAACAAAAAAAAAATATTATCACAAAATATGAATACACAGGCAGGTCCCTTCTGATCAGGTTCTTGGTATTACTGTGGTAGTCTATACCAACGTGAGTACAATGTCATACGGCATCTTTCATCATCCATAACAGTAAGAGTGATGTCCTCGAGGTTATTAAATTGGTACCTAATTTCTTCCATTAATAGAAAAAAAATATGTAGTGGATAAACATGAAAAGAAAAAAGAGAAAAGAAAAGGGAAAAAATATAGAAAAAAAATACAGAGGATAAAGTCCCAATATCCATTTAAAAAAATTCCATCAGTAACTTCATGGATAGATCTCACCACAGTATGGGCCAGTCTCAGGTTCTTGCTAGGTTTGTTCATCCACACAGTTGATCCTGATGTTTTGAGGGCTTGTCATGCAGTTATCTGCAAGGTACCTGCATTCCGGGGCTGCGCGGTCGGGATCAATTTCCCCTATAATCCAAAGTAGACAAGATAAAACATTTTTTTTGCATTATTACACATTGCTACATACCTATTGAAGACCACAAAGTGGTAAAGTGTCATGGCTCATATAACTGTACAATTTAATCAGAGAATATTTGTCTATATAATACAGAACCTAGTTTAATGTTTCTGGCAACCTGGCATGAAATAAAATCAAGTCAATTGAGATTATTAACACCACATGTACATTCATTTGTAAACCAATCAAGTGCAGTCTTAATTCAAATGCAATGTTTAATCAGTGCTAAATGTGAACTATGCAAATATTATCACATTTTTTAAATATCACTATACAGTATATCCATTCTTTAAGCGTGCACTTTTTCTGAACAGGTGATGTGCCTGGGAAACTCCTATCACCATTTTCTTGGTGAGCTGTAAACACTTCTACAGCTGTAGCTAGCCAGATAGACATTGACAGCCAGCTAAAAACCGCAAGGGCAGAATAAACTGAGGCTTGTTTTTTTTTAAACTCCAGAACACACACAGTGTTTGGCAGAATTGAAATCTTAGCCTTCATATTCTGTGACTGGGTATGTGGTGTCATGTTCCCCCTTCTCTCCCTTTCTCTTATGTTGCCTTTTCCCCCCTCTCTTACCATGACACCTTATCCGCTGCCCCTTTTCCATGTAACCTTACTCCCATCCCCTCTCTATGCCATCTTAACCCCTCCTAGGCCCTCATTTCACATTACCATGATGGCCTCATCATGGTGAAGCTTTTCGTCACTGGCTCTAGTCCTTCTCTACAAACTACCGTATAGTTCTCAGAGGTTTGGAAGCAATCAGAGCTGATACATCTTCTTGTCTCTCATATTTAGACTTCAGTGCATAATGTGAAGCATTGTGTGAAACTGTAGGAGTGTGCTTTGACCTGAATTATCATTCCAACCTTAAAGATCCTCTGGTCTCTCCAACCACCACTTGGCTAATTACATTAGAAGATCATTTAAGTTTTGCATGAGCATTTGTACACTTTTGTTTTTTTTTAACCTTGCCTCCTTGTATAAACACGACACATGTGTCGCATGGAACTGTATCAGAAAGTCTGTATATGAACAGCTCACAACTGAAAATCCATGTGCAGTGGTGCAAATCACTGTTGCCAATACTAATATTCTACCAGTTTAAATAGTTACATGCAAAACTAAGATCGTGTGTGTAAAACAACACTATATAAGAAATGTTCTTATTGAAGAGACATACTAGAAGTAAATACAGATAATATATAGATTCAGTATATGTTCATAGAATTTCAGGCATACACATTTGATTAGAAAGGCAAATTGTGCCCTAGAAAATATATCTGAAGAGTGAAATATTTTCTAAATTGTTTTCATAATGTACATTTTTTGAAAGCAATTTCACAATTTAAACTATATTAAATAGTAACAGATGTTATAAAATGATTTATTATTTAAAAGCACATTTTAAGTCAGAATAGTATTGTAAATTTTTTTTCAAGATTAAAATGTATTTATTTTTTTTTATTAAGAATTGAAAAGTGTGATTTTTAACTGTATTTGTAAAGCAAGTGAAGGATGCAGTTTGCAAATAGATGCTTTGAAACTTATGAACAGTGCTTTTCAAGTTTCTCAAAATAGCATTTTCAAAAACCATGATAAAGTTCACACAAGTATATTCATGATAATATCCCAGACCAATTTTTTTGTACCATCAGAGAGGTTATGAAATAGTGTGTGCAAATCAAAAACTTAATTGTTTAACACCACTAAAGTTACTTTGACAACAATTCAGCTAATCGTACGATTCAGTTTTATATACATTCTACTGGGAACTATAATTAACACAAAAATAAAGAAAGTGCAGACATAAGAGCTCATAGATTGTATATATATTGCAGAACATTCCCACCTGTCACAAGCCTTAAGCAGCTTTGCAAATTTGCAGTCACATGATCAAACAAACTGTAATGGACATTTAGACACAGAATTCCAGCATGCAGAATTGAAGATATATTATATATACTATAATTATACCTATAAGTAAAATATTTAATACATATGTACATAGTAAACATGTTGAAAATATGTACAGCTTTACCCAAATCTCCAAGTATCTAAAAGTCAACCTGTTTGTAGGTTTTATTTTTTTATTATTTTTTTTTTAAACAATATTTTTTAGGTATGTATAAAGTGTCGCCAACTGGTTAATTAAAAAAACAAAACACATTTGTACAATTGGAGAACAAAGAGTAATATTAATAGAAAAAATGGCACATTGTAATTAAAAGGATTTTTCATCATCTATAAAAGAAAAAAAAAATGTGCAAGCTGCTTACAAGTCACAGAAAAGCTACCTGCCTACAGTAGTGTAAGACTTTGAGAAGAAACAGAGCACTCTGCACATCTTCACTGTGAAGAAATGACTCCGTTCATCAGGATTTCTACCTTTGTTGCACAGTTAATTCACCCAATTCAGCTGGAATTCGGCATATAGCTATAATTTCTACCCTTCGGATGGATTCAGGCGAATTCCCCGTGTAAAATCTAGGTGGCCGCCATTTCGGCACTTTACACGTGGTCGCGGCCATTTTACGTGCGAACAGCGGTGTTTGCCCGTCAACGCGTGGAACTAAAATCGGATACGCAAACAGGCGAACACCGCTGAGACCTCCATACATCCAGAACTTCGCACGGGAAAAACCGAATCACCGGCCGTTCGGTAGTTACATGCAACTTCGTATGGGGATTTCAACGACCACGAAGATGCGAACGGATGGCAGGACTTTCGTCTTTTTTATTCGCCTAAACGGAGACCGACCGCAGGGCCAAAACTTATGGAACTATTTTCGGCTAGATGATCCGTGCGGTCGGTCAAAACTTTAGTGCTCCATAACTCCCGAACCATTCATCCGAATGGACTGATTTTTTGACATATTGTCCCCACAAGTGAGCACTATCCAGCGGTGCCCAATTTAAAGGTGTACCCCCTGTTTTTGGGGTACATCCAGAACTGGGGTAAAATGAAGTTAACTGTTTATCAGAGGGGAGGGAGGTAGGGGCTGTAACCTGTACCTGATTGGTGATTTAATGCCTCCCCCTGGGTGTGTATTTTTTGTATGTAACCCTAATAAAAAGCAGGCTGGAGATTCCAGACCTCAGATCTACTTGTATCCTGATTCTGGACTCTGACTGTTCTTTGGGAATTCGTATGCTTTACCAAAGGGGATTATCTTGGGAAGCTGTTATATTTCTTATGGACTTCATTGCTTGGATCTACCCTAGACGCTGGCATTGCAGGAGGAATTATCAAAGCGGTTCAGCTATACTTGATTTCCTTACAACTGGTGGCAGCGGTGGGATTCGAATCCCAAATGGACATTTCAAAACAAGCAAAGGAATGAATGGCTCAGCAGTACCAGCTACTTAAAAGAACCACGCTAAAGGACTTACTGGAAGCTCGAGGCAGAGTGGCAAGTAACAAAACAAAAGCCACGATAATTGCGGAGTTAATGCAGAGCGATAATACCAGTAATATAGAGATGGACCAAGAGGAAGAAACCGTGATGCAAAAGGACATCCGATGGACACTCAGTTTATTGGGACCCAATCCATCCTCAGAGGCGATACTGCAGGTCGTAGCACAAGCCAGACAAGCGCAAAAAGAGCGAGATGACCGGGACAGAGCGTCACAGGGGGATTTGCTACACCCCCCGAGAAGTATTGGGGAAATACCAAAGAAGGTAAATTATGCAGCGTTTAAATCATTTGTTGACAATGAAATGGAAATTGACAGTTACTTGCAAGACTTTGAACGTCAGTGTGCACTGGAGGGATTAGACTCCACCAAATGGGCTGCAGTCGTCAGCAGTAAATTGTCAGGTAGAGCAGCCGAGGCGCTGCGAGCAGTACCTGAGGGGGACATACATAATTATGAGAAAATAAAAGACATTTTGTTGGCCAGATATGCGGTAACTCCGGAGGCATACCGGAAAAAGTTTAGAGACCTGAGAAAGACTGGGAGAGATTCCCATACGGAATGGGCTTTTCGCCTGCAGCGGGCAGCCCGCAATTGGATGAAGGGCTGCCAGGCAACCACCCTAGAAGAAGCTTTGCAACTAGTGATACTGGAGCAATTTTTTAATCATACTGCAGAGGACATAAAAGACTGGGTAAAAGATAGGAAACCAAAAACCGTGGAGGAGGCCGCTAGGCTAGCGGACGAGTACCAGGATAACAGGAGGAAGGAGCCAGGGGCGATCAGACCACCATTTAAGCCTCAGTACACAGCTCCAACAAACCCGGCTCCACCTAGACCTGCCATAGGTAACCCCCCACCGAACCCAGCAAACACACCTCGACCTCCTGCAGTGTGTCACTACTGCAAGCAACCAGGACATTACAAGCATCAGTGCCCTCGCTTAAACCGGGGAAGCTGGGAACGGCCAGCCCCACAACAACCCAGGGCAGCTGCTCACTGTGTGCAACAGGAACACACAGGCCCTGCCCTTAACCACGAAGAACAGTGGAGTGTATTACATGAGGTCAATCCAGTACAAGCTGGGGGGGACAACCGGGACCACCACCGCCAATGGATTACCGTCGATGGCGTGGGGGCCCGGGCGCTGAGAGACTCTGGGGCTACTTTGACTGTGGTACAGCCCCACACGGTCAGAGCACAAGCTCGCACCGGACGCACAGTCGCTGTAAGGGTGGCTGGGGGCGCTATTCACAAACTGCCCACCGCTAATATGTTTGTTGATTGGGGTTCCGGGTCTAAACAACTGGAGGTGGGGATTATGCAAGAACTGCCCGCCGAGGTTTTGTTGGGAAATGATGTGGGATGCCTAACCTCCCAACTAGCCCGAGACCCCCCTGCCGAGGCCTACCCGGTTACCACCCGAGCTCAAGCCAGACTGGAAGCTCCGCTGCACTCTGAGGAGAACCAGGTAAGAGTCGAAATACCCCCTTTACCCGATCCCCCCGTACCCTTCTGGGATACCCCCCAGGGGTTTGAACAG